TTACAGTAAAATACAATTCGAATATCTTTAAAAACCCGATTGCAGTTAGTTGATAAATCTCAAGGTTAACTAATTTTTTATTCACAGATATTACGTCTCAATTAAATAATTTCATTATTGAAATTAAGTAAGTCATTTTAGTGCTTCTCTTCTGCAAAAGACTCTTCACGTCTTAATCTATTTGTTTAAATTATTTTTCTTGTTATTACGAGTATGAGTTTAGCGTTCAATAATTTAAATATGTATAGATTATGTTTAGCGGTACACATTTAACATTTTCATCTTTTATAACGCTTTATAAGCTTCTGTCGAAAGAGAATTTTATTTTTAATTTATACTTCATTTTGCTAAAGAGTCTTATTACAACTGTTCATCTCATCAACACATCTAATATATTCGAATGTCATTTTATTACGAATAATATAAATTATCTTCTTCATGAATTTCATAGTTTCTATACATTTTTGAAAATTAGCAATTAAAAATTAGAAGTTCGCACTCACAATTTGTTCTAAAAATTGATTTTTGTTTATATTGATGAGTTTTTTTAACTTATCATTATGTTAAATTTATTGTTAGTATATGAAAAATGTAGTGTATTATGATATATCTATGCAAAAATTGTTTAATTTTCTGTTATTTTATTATTTTCGTAAAATTAATCATTATTTGAAAATCACTGAAAATTTCATTTATTATTACTAGTACATTTTGAGACTCTTAAAAATGTAGATAGATAATTAATCGTACAAAAATGTTTAATTCATGCTTAAAAAATTTTCATTGGAGAGATGCAGTAACTGCTGGAATTTCAATATTTAATTTTATTTAAAAAATTTTCAAAGTAAAAATGAGTATTTATCATTTTTTAGTTTCGATCTATTAACACTTTTTCATGGTGAAAAATTTGGAATTTATTCCTTTGAAACAGTAAATCTAGCTAGGCAACCTTTTTCTTTGCAAACAGTTCTGTATCACTGCATACAATTTCATCGTATTTTTGTATAATAATGGATTAGTACAACGATGATAACAATATTAACCATTGTACATAATGTCTCTCCACTTTTATGTTACATATTATTTTTGCAATTGAATATTGAAATTCACAGAATTGCATGATCATTTCGTACATTTTACCTACACGTTGACTTTTATTTTTAATATTATTTTCATATTCCTTATGTACCATAGATTCACTTAATTTATTTCTTCAACATTGGTAACAACATTTTCCGTAATTTTTTTGCAACTTTAATACTTAATTTTATTTTAACGTGATTGGTTATCGCAGCAGCCAAAAGATAATGTTACTTATTTGTACTAAGCTGAGATTTTTTGGCATCTCGCCGGCTCGAAGCAAAAACGTAGTGATTTCTATTCTGCTTGCATATACACTGCTCTCAAAAACTTGCCCAAATCAAGGCAAGCAACATAATTTTTACTTACTGAATATAGGTTGAAAAAATGTCATGCACAATAATACATGTAGCTTTAATCTCTAGATGACCGGAAAGCCAATATAATGGCGCACCCCTATCGACTCTTTACCCATGATCGATCAATGATTTAAGATACCTTTTATGCCAGTTTTCTATTGATTCTCTTCAGGTTAAATGCGGAGTTGAAAGCTTACATGATGGATACTTGGAGCTCTAGTATTATAAAGCATTATGCTGCAATCGCTAGCACACGGATACAAAAAATTAATGATAACTTGAATTGATAAACTAAACATAATTTTAGTTAAAGATGTATCTGCAGTGAACTATGATTTTAAGATTACTTGATAAGTAAGTCTACACTTAATTAAATTAAACATCATATAAGCTTTCGACGCATCGATCAAATGATGATGCTATTATTGTGCTGAAAAAAAATGATTTTATGCAGCATGTGACCGAAAGGCGTTTTTGGGCACTTGTTGCATAAATAACTATTTTGTACCGTTTAGTATAAGTAGTAGGGTTTACACGTAAAATGGCATTACGATTTTGAGCAAATTTATATTTATACATTATAATGATTTGTTGAAGCAGACATAAATTTTAATTAAACAAATGCATTGGCCGCAAAAAGAGAAATTTTTGAAAAATTTCTAACTGAACTGAAAACAGCTTTAAAAACCACTGTTATTAAATGCTCACGAACATTTCAACGAGTCTCAACTTAGTCTAAAATATTAACCATATCTTTATCGGGTAACATGTTGACGTTTTTTATCTTTTTACACCATCTGTACAATATTGCGAAAATGTCTTGTAATCGTAAAATATGTATATTATGAAAAAAACAATTTTATTCACTTAGTTCTAAACTCTACTTTATGGTAATTATTTATTCGTTTTAAACTTAAGAAAATTGCTTTGCACAGATTTTGATTTTATAGATTGCATAGAATATCTTTGTGACTAACTTTTCACTAGCCAATATATATAATTTTGGACATGGTCTTAAAAAATTATTAAAACTTTTAGATATGAAGCATGTACAGTCGTTCGTTATTTTTCCCAAAAGTATATTAACGCATTTAAATGAGTAAAATGTTCTATTTTTTTACGAATGTGATACCAATATAAAGATTCTTTTCTGAAAGCACTAAAAACTAATTACAATGCAGTCTCAACGCAAAAAACTATGAAAATTTCTTAGATTTTATTTTGTTTTTAGATCACATAATAAAGAACTATTTTCACGCGCAGTATGATTCCAATTTTTCATTGGATAGTATTTGCGAAGAGGAAGAGGAGGAAGAAAATTCTATTACACGTAACATGGTTGTTTTTATACATGATTTATACGTTTTTATGTATGTGGCCGATTCTCTGTGAAATCGAATGGCCAAAAAATTTTTTTTTCTGCAAATATGAAAAACTTGCTGTTCCCGATGTCAGAAATGTCCCCAAATTTTATTAGAATTTTTGGGACCATCTATCACTCTTTTTCAGAGGCCTGAAGTTGGCCATTTTAGGGTTTTTTTAAAATTCATGAAAAATCACAAATATTAAAATAATTCCTGGAATAAAGTAGAATGATTCAAAAGTAAAAGTGCCCAGCCACTTTTTTGTTGGAAATTGTCCAAATTTTCAGAAAAAAAATATGCCAAAGTGATTGGAACAATCTAGGTAAGCGTAAAGCAAAAAAACTGCCAAGTGGACATAAATGATGAAATCTAATCGAGTTCGAACCGGACTTTCATTTCCTAAACTATGTAAAAAGCTTCCCAAAGATNTATTATTATTATTATTATTATTATTATTATTATTATTATTATTATTATTATTATTATTATTATTATTATTATTATTATTATTATTATTATTATTATTATTATTATTATTATTATTATTATTATTATTATTATTATTATTATTATTATTATTATTATTATTATTATTATTATTATTATTATTATTATTATTATTATTATTATTATTATTATTATTATTATTATTATTATTATTATTATTATTATTATTATTATTATTATTATTATTATTATTATTATTATTATTATTATTATTATTATTATTATTATTATTATTATTATTATTATTATTATTATTATTATTATTATTATTATTATTATTATTATTATTATTATTATTATTATTATTATTATTATTATTATTATTATTATTATTATTATTATTATTATTATTATTATTATTATTATTATTATTATTATTATTATTATTATTATTATTATTATTATTATTATTATTATTATTATTATTATTATTATTATTATTATTATTATTATTATTATTATTATTATTATTATTATTATTATTATTATTATTATTATTATTATTATTATTATTATTATTATTATTATTATTATTATTATTATTATTATTATTATTATTATTATTATTATTATTATTATTATTATTATTATTATTATTATTATTATTATTATTATTATTATTATTATTATTATTATTATTATTATTATTATTATTATTATTATTATTATTATTATTATTATTATTATTATTATTATTATTATTATTATTATTATTATTATTATTATTATTATTATTATTATTATTATTATTATTATTATTATTATTATTATTATTATTATTATTATTATTATTATTATTATTATTATTATTATTATTATTATTATTATTATTATTATTATTATTATTATTATTATTATTATTATTATTATTATTATTATTATTATTATTATTATTATTATTATTATTATTATTATTATTATTATTATTATTATTATTATTATTATTATTATTATTATTATTATTATTATTATTATTATTATTATTATTATTATTATTATTATTATTATTATTATTATTATTATTATTATTATTATTATTATTATTATTATTATTATTATTATTATTATTATTATTATTATTATTATTATTATTATTATTATTATTATTATTATTATTATTATTATTATTATTATTATTATTATTATTATTATTATTATTATTATTATTATTATTATTATTATTATTATTATTATTATTATTATTATTATTATTATTATTATTATTATTATTATTATTATTATTATTATTATTATTATTATTATTATTATTATTATTATTATTATTATTATTATTATTATTATTATTATTATTATTATTATTATTATTATTATTATTATTATTATTATTATTATTATTATTATTATTATTATTATTATTATTATTATTATTATTATTATTATTATTATTATTATTATTATTATTATTATTATTATTATTATTATTATTATTATTATTATTATTATTATTATTATTATTATTATTATTATTATTATTATTATTATTATTATTATTATTATTATTATTATTATTATTATTATTATTATTATTATTATTATTATTATTATTATTATTATTATTATTATTATTATTATTATTATTATTAATTTATTATCATTACTTTTATTATTTTATTTATATTTTTATTATTATGTCAAATTTCGATTAGATTTAATTTCATTGTTATTATAAATGTTTTTATTATTTCATTTCAATGCTATACTTATTATAATTATTTATTAACATAGATTTAAAATGTTGCTCGCACCCGGTCGAGTAAACGTGTATCATTATTTTAATTTTTTTCTCTTCTTTATATTTATATTATAAAATCCAAAGCAATCGAATAAAAGCATAACAAAAAACGACTTGTCTTTTCTATAGTTAAACAGTAGTAGTAATAGTAACAATAGTGGCTGCGACGGCTGCACTTTTGGCAGAAAATTATCGTGGCAGGGCACTGAGTATGCAAATGTTGTTTCCCTTCACGTGATAGTCTCAAAAATCACGTGACAATGATGTGTGGCGCCGAGAAGAGGACGGTGATGGTTGCGATTATCGTGAAGAGAGTAAAAATGATTAGGCACATTCTATCAATCACCATCGCAGCAAACTTCCAGTCATTGGCAATTTTTGTCGACACCTCGTTGTCCTTTAATTGGTTTGTGATTATCTGTAATAGTTAAAATTTTTATCGTAATATAGCATTGCTATGAATTTGTAATATTCTTAATATGAATTTAAGAGTTTGGTTTCAAGACTGCGTAAATTACCGGTGATAACACTAATGACCCGGTTTAATTCTACAGACAAAACCGCTACAGCTTCCATATAGAGGAAGTTATGTGATAGGCTTGAAAATGAGATTTGGCACCAGACGTGGTACTCAAAATTCAAAAATGAAATACGAATTTTCCCTTCAATAACCAAACCCTTTCATTAATATAATTTTTTATGAGGAAGCTCTTTGCCAATAAATTCGCAGCGGTTTTTTTACCCTTAATATGCTCTCAAATAAAGTCCATTAGTCTACCGATGACCAACATTTAGAGGATGTTTTAATTGGATCGATGTGCTCAGTCAAAAACAACTTATAACATAATATAGTATTTGACGCCGATAACTTGTGATAGCAAAAGAACGTTAATATCTCTTTGAAAAAGGGAAAAACCGCTGACTAGTTCTGTTCTATTTTCTGGATTAAAGCCTCCTATTTTAAATAAGAACATGGAATGTACAAAATTGATACGAAATTCTGAAGTCATTTCTAAATTAACTGAGCATATAGAGCATCATTATTATGTTCTAGGAAAGCCCAAACAAATTTTTACATAAATCTGTGATTCGTAGATGGAAATATCTTTTTGCTAGTTTTTATTTCACTTTTTGGCATATCACACGTAATATGACTGCTAGACTTTTTCGAAGTAATTATAAAGAAATATTTGAATCATAATTTTAGATGTAAAATTTAATTAGGAACTGATGAGGGAGCCTTTACGAGCAGAGGGTGGATGAGGGGGGAGAAAGTGAGAATTTATTGATTTATAAATTAGACTGAGGAAATATTATAATTGAAAAAATTACAAAGTTCAAAATTCGCATCTTTTTATTTACGCTCCAGTAGAAATGGGTGGTTGCGCGCGCATATTGAGCAGGGTCGCAGAGCTGTTCCAAGTTCTATATAAATAATATTGTCTGGAAAATTACCTTTATTTCCTTCAGTATGAGTATGAGCTCGTATCTGGCACAAAAACAGGCGCTTTGAAGCAACGGCTCACCATTAGGGTCTGTCGGTGGATGAGCGTGGTGGTGTGGCGTGTGTCCTAGCTGATGACCGACCGATACGGGTGGCGGTGGAGGTGGTGGGTAAGATGAGTGAGCCATCGGTGTTTGATGCTGATGATGAGGCGTCGTCGTAGCCGTATGAGGATGATGATGGTGATGTGGAGTCACGTGTACGTGTCCGTGATGATGTGGACCCGGTGTGCTGTATACATTGTTCAGCAGGTTGTTGTGCGACGCAAGTGCATTATCTTCTAAATCAAGTACATTAGCAAGAAGAGACTTGCTTGAACGTTGATGCAACTCCAAATCACCGTAAGACTTGCTCGGACCTAAATAAGAGTAGTCAATGATAGAGTCTATTTTCATCATTGTTTTTAAGATAAGTAAAGTCTATTTTGGTATGTATATCACTACACCATATTATAATGCGTAAAAATACACCTGTCACTGGAGAAGGTTTTTGAGACTTTTGTATCAACTCATCGTCTTCTGGAATTGGCCTCGACATTCGTAATATACAAGGTAGCCAATCTAAAAAGACGACTCTCACCTGAAACGTATAGTTCTAATAAAAATTTTGTTCAATGACATTTATTTTCATAGAAACTTATTTCAAGTAAGGTCATTAATGCAAGAAAATAGAGTGAACCAGCCAGTTATCGGACACTTAAGGAAATTTCCTATTATAATCGATTGGGGGAGCTTACTCGTTTGATAAAAATTTTTTTTGAATATACCATCTTTTAGGAAATTTTCTGCTCTTTCTAATGCATATGTTTATTTTTACCTAAAATAATTTTTTCAGCTATTTAAGAAGAATTTCTAAAAAAACCCGAAAATGTTAGTTTTCGGACACTTTTTTTAGTTTTCGGACACCCTAAAAATTAGGTTGTAAATCAATAATTATGTTCATGTGAGTAATAGAAATGAAATTAATAAACTAAAAAGGCTAAAAAATTATATACTGAACCATTTTATTATGTTATTAACAATAAAAAATTATTTACAAATTTAATTTTACAACTTTTTTTCTGTCTCTCGACCCTTCTTTTTTCGGCTTTTTGAATTCATCAATAATTTCCCTTTTAATTTTTTTCTCATGGTTCTTCTACTACTAATTGATTCCTTGATAAAATCGTTTTTCTTACTGTGTCAAATTTTTTTATGGCTTTTTGAATTTTGACGCTCTTGACTTACTTTCCTTTTAATTTTTTTGAATAATTCTGCTTCATTTTGGTCTCTTGGGTCAATAACCGGACACCAAAATTTTTATCCAATTTGACCCGTTGAAAATAATAAAACTATGGGAAATTGTTGAAAAAGGCTTCTGAACATGCTCCAATAGTTTTTTTTTTATGAATAATTAACATTTCAAGTAATTAAGTCAGATTTACGAAAACCACTTACTAAAGGATTTTCGTTAATTTTGGCAATTTATCATACATTGTTAAAGTAGCCTGCAAATCTAACTAAATTATAATTGATATAATGAACCAATCTTTTATCAATCTACGTCATTTTGAAGAAAATTGCATGCTGAATTCATTAAAAAAAACTGCGCATCGCTAGAAGTAGGCGTTATTTTATTATTCTAACTCAAAGTTGAAAGTGTCCGAAAACTAGCAGTGTCCGGTAACTGGCTAGTTTACCCTACATTTCAGTTTATAATTGTATTTACCCAATCTGACATTTCATGCGTATCCGAATTACGATGGTGATAATTTAATATAAGTATTGTACTGACTACACTACTCGCCACCATGAACATGATGCAATTGAAATACGTTCCTAAACATAAAGTCCAAAGGTTTATTTTATTTTTCCTCAATCATAGTTCAATATTTTATTAAAGTTTATCATTTTTACTGAAATTTACCTAAGAGCGGTACAGCATCTGAAGTGGCTGGCATCGTTTCTGCTACCATATTAAGGAACACCGTGAGTGACAAAAGAATAGTTACTCCTATGGAAAAATTTTTTCAATTTTCGTTTACTCCGGTTAGTCATAAGCTTTCTAAAATTTCTTTGATTCAAACAAGTATCTTACCAAGAGAAAGTTTTTCACCAGAATCAGGGGGCAATGTAAACCCTAACACAGCCATGCTAGCAATCAAAACGCATGGTACGATTAGGTTGAAAAAATAGTAGAGAGTACGCCGTCTTATTATAACGACAAATGTGATATCGATGTACGGCTCGGGGCAACAATTGTAATAAATTTCATTTCTTTTGCCTGGAACACCTGAAAATTTGAATAAAAATAAATTAGTTTAGTAGTGAATGTAGATTTTAAATAAATAACTTCAACAAATAAGAAGCCTGTCTATTTTTTTACACACGGTAGAAGCCCTGTATATAAATTTCGTTTAATTATATCCGCTGCTTATTGTAATCAAAACACGCGGTCCCCATTTCCCCTTATATATTTTATAACGGGGAAATTGATCCGGAGATCCGTTGGATGGATGAGCAGATTGAAGTTCAGCTGAGGGAATAGTCGTGCTTCAAGTTTTAATATAAATCGATTTATTAAAGACTAAAAACTAAAGACACCCAAAAATAGTTAAGATTAAATTAGGCAATGGCCTGTGATGACAAATAAAACAATAAATTGAGTTGGCGTCTGCCAAAGATAAAATTCGTGCGCACGACTATGATCTCCGCGAGCCGCTGCTCCGCTCAGTGTGCGAAGAGAGAGAGATTACTTTTACGTCGAGCAAGTACTTACAATTGGCTGTCAGCCTATCCGGATGGCTCGCTTGACACCCTTGTGACGAAGGGTACTGGCACGCGTGCACTGCAACTGCACCAATTAACGTGACTCGACTTATCAACTCTAATTCGTAATCGCGAATTTACAATTTAATATCACGGCAAACTTATGCCTATTAACGTGGCAATCGGTAGCAAAGCCAGTAGCAGTCTCAGCTCGCGGGCCTGTGCATCCTAGGCGCGAGCCCCGAAATTATTTCTCTCTCCCCTCTCGTCGCACACCAACGGCACCGCGACTCGACGGTCGACGATCTGTCGTGCTGAAAATGAAGTACATATTATTTATAATTACTTCAAAATAATAACAATTGTCGGGAGAGAGTATAACGAATAATATATTCGTTACAATTTTTATATATTAATTTAAAGTCCAGATTTTAGTTTATTGTAATCAAAAGCCGTTTATATGAATCAAATGATATTGAAACATCACGAAGTAAACATACATAAAATTTAACCATACCAAATGATTTAACTCAAATTTTTATTATAACGCGTACAAATATCAATTAATTTTTTAATTTATTCGGTAGTGTGCCGCTGTACCTGAATTTGATACTTGCCAGGCAAAGCCTAAATGCAAGATCATTTTTTACTTGAAGCGCGATTTCTCAATAGGTGGGAACCGATTGATGAAAGTTAGAGTAAAATCAATATCTTCCGCTCTTTCAAATACTCAATAACGATGAAGTGAACAAGAATCACGGTGGCTTAATTGGTTAAAGCACTCGCCGGTTATAAGCGAGGTTGACACTGGTTCGATTTTGGTCCGAGATCATATTTTTCGTTCTGGGTACAATAATTAAATAAATTAATTAAGTTGTGAGTATGCAAATCATCGTTTAGAAGCTCCTCCTCAGTTAGGTATAATAAAATAGTTTTTCGTGAATTTTCGAAGAGAATACATATCCTAAATCGCGTTTCATGTGAAAGATGATCTTGCATTGTGGAATTTTCCTGGCAGGTATTAATTTAAGGTACAACGTCACACTACCGAATGAATCATAAAAATCAAACAATTTAATTTTATTGAAATAGTATGATTTGCTCGAAAAGTGCAACTCGACGTAAAACAACACCAAAATTAGGAGTTTTACAGCCACTTCAAATCGCAAAAGAAATAGTTTGGAAAATACAAAGATGAAAAAAGTTCTCAAGTAATGTTTCGTTGAAGTGTGTAACAAAGATGTTAAAATATACCAGTTAATGGCTTCATATTAAAAATAAAACCAGTTTGATTTGAAAAAAAATAAAAACATCAGATTTCAAAGTCATTGGGGAATGGTTTTCTCGATGGTTTTAGAGACAACAATAAAAAAGAAAGAAAAGGCGCGTCTGCCTTGCTCATAATGTGCTACTTACGACACGTGTACAATATACTGTTTTATAGCACTGCGTGGCATAAGTTCATATTTATGGCACGTTTTTCTGTGGCATAAGTCGCACATTATGGCACCGCTGCGTTCGCATCGCACTCGCGTACGCTCGTGCGCTAACCTTACTTCGCGCTACCAGAAAGTGCGACTTATGGCTCGGAAAAGGGGGCATAAATGTGAACATAGCACAGTGCTATAAAATAGCGTATGATACTCGGGCCATAGGGGACACTTTTCGGCCCAGCTATTAGGACCCTCGCTGCACTCGGGCCCTAAACTACGCCGAAACTACGCCGAAACTACGTAAATTACTATTACAGCACTGTGCTAAGTTCAAATTTATGCCCCCTTTTCCGAGTTATGAGTCGCACATTCTGATACCGCGGAGTGAAGTTAGCGCACAAGCGCAGCGAGTGTGATAGGCGCCATGCTTTGGTGAGGGTGATATGCTATAAAAAGTTACCAATTCATTAAGATTATTTTTCGGTAGTGGACGCTATACCCTTTAAATTGATATCTACGTAGGCCAGGCCTGAATGTAGCCTGAATGTGTCTACATTCAGGCCTGGCCTACGTAGGTATCAATTTAAAGGGTATAGCGTCCACTACCGAAAAATAATCTTAATGAATTGATATTTCGGGGCGCGTAAAAAGTAAAAATTAAATATAAAAAGTTAATTGGATTAAACAGCCACAAAAAAATGTTCGAGTCCAGAGACCAGACCCAGTGGATATTAAGAATTTGAGGTCGCTGAATTCGAATCCAGTGTCGGTTTTTCAAGGCTAGCTCATTTGAAGGTCAATTCTCCCGGCGAGAATAGAGGCTCAGAATTTTTGAAATAATATATGTATGTATGTCAACGATCCGTTTGTCAACGATCTTGACACGTGTTTGGTACCTTATTGAGGACTGAACGATACCGTCACGCCACGTAGTGGCGAAATTTCGTACTAGCGTATTAGGGCGAATTTGATCAAATAACATTGGAAATACGATAAATGTGGGAAAATAATAAATGTTGCACAATGAATTTTGTAAAAATGATGAATGTTATTTGGTCAAATTTGCCCTAGAATACGCTAGTACAGAATTTCGCCGCTACGTGGCGTGACGGTATCGTTCAGTCCTACATAGTACATAATGAAAGGGTCATCATAGTAAAAGACAAAAAATATATGAACGTATGGAGGGTGGGGGTAGGAGTGACGGGGAGTTTACAATTTCGGCTTTGGCACTCTTTTACTATGTACTATAATAAGCCAAAAGCACGTCAAGATCGGTGTCATACCTGCGCACAATCATTTCAAGAATTCTGAGCCTTACCCATATATAATAAATTTGCCACTGTTGCTCGAAAGTACTACACAAGACTAGAACTCTGTTGAGCCGTTGCTTACGCCAGCCGCAGGCCAGAGAGAGAGAGAGAGAGAGGGAGAGAGATCACGGGCCAAAACACGAGCAGTTCATTACAATGGCTTGCAGCTAAGCTCGGATTTGACACAGTCATTCACGCGTCGCGATTCAACACAAAAAATAAAAATAAAAATTAATACGACACGCGGTCAATTACCGATTGTACTCGGCCAAAGGTCGCAAACAGATTTTGCGCGTAAGCTCATTTCAACGAGGCACGAAATAAATTTCTTTCCTCTCCGACGTATCCAAGCAAGGCTACGGCTAAATATACGACAGATCAAGTCGACTGAAATAAAAGGCGCATAATACAAATTATAGTTTAATAAATTTTAACTAATTGGTAGGAGAGAGCATAACGAATATAATTCGTTGCACAGTTTGTAATTTATTACCTAAAAGGTCCCATTCGCCGTTCGTGATGAAACTGCTTATGTCACCGCCAGATTCATCCTGAAGTTGAAGATCCAACTATAATTAAGATAAAATAAATTAGAATATGCATTTTCTAAACATTAACATTGTGAATTTTTAAACTTTACTATAGTCACATGTTGTTCCTAAATTATCATACGTAAGCTTAGTTTCAGCCTTGTGCAAAGTGACAAAATTGCATGGATATCCGCGTTGATTATCCACGTGGATTAGCTATCCACAAGGATTAGACATGGATACCACGCAGATCTGACAACGATTTCACGTGGATCATACAAGGATGGAAAAAAATTTTAAGTTGGTGGTTTTTCAACTCTACGAGGATCTTGGACTTATTTCGCGAGCTCGCTGCAAGTATCCGCGAGGTTTTGTCGGTGAATCGTTTTGGATTTTAACTTCTCCACGTTGATAATTGATTAATCCACGAGGATTTTTCAAGAAATTTCCGAGGATCTTGGACTTGTTTCGCGAGCTCGCTGCAAGTATCCGCGAGATTTTGTCCGTGAATCGTTGTGGATTTTAACTTCTCCAAGTTGATAATTGATTAATCCACGAGGATTTTTTGAAAAATCTTCGAGGATCTTTCTACATCCACGAGGATTTCAGCGAAAATCGTAATGGGTTGATAAAAAATCTGCGTAGATTTCTAGTCAATCCACGAGGGGTTTCGTGGAAATCCTCGCTGATCTTTTAAAAATCATCGCGGAGGTTCAAAAGTCTACGAGGAATTAGCAAAAATCGTCGTGGGTTGATAAAAAATCTGCGTAGATTTCTGGTCAATCCACGAGGGATTTCGTGGAAATCTACGTTGATTGTTTAAAAATCATCGCGGAAGTTCAAAAGTCTACAAGGATTTTAGCAAAAATCGTCGTGGGTTGATCGAAAATATGCGTAGGTATTATGTCAATCCACGCGACTTAGCTACGTAGACAATTTATTTAATCCACGTGGTATCCATGTCCGATCCACGTGGTATCAATGCCTGATCCTCGAGGTATCTATGTATGATGCACGTGGAATCGGTGTGATTATCAACGCGGATATCCATGCAATTTTTTTCAACTGGGTAGCTAGCGTTGAATACCGAGTTAAAGCACTAGTTTTACAATACCGAGAGAATATTAGTAAGGGGAATAAAACGTTATTATGATTAATGGTTGTACAAAAAATACGTTAGATCAAGTATCTAATTGGATAAATACTAGCAAGCATATCAAAATTAAATAATTATTCTCACCTGAAAGCCATCATATGTCCAAGAACCGAACTTCATTTCACAGCGTTGATCATCAAATGGGAACCAAGTAATGTCAATTTTACAGGTACTTTTGAAAATGCCTGGAGGCACGTATAAGCATGTACCGTTTTCTTTGACCACAACGTTGGTTGGATAGGTACCATCAAAACCTTCGTCCGCACTACGCAAAATATAAACAAAGAAATTATGACTTATGTGAACAATTTTAGTCAGTCTAGTTAGTTCATAGCACATACATTTTTGTACAATTCTTTTTTTTAGCTTAAATTTCAATAATTCTTAGCTAGCTACATTCATCGAAAAACAAGCTTTTTCGATTATTGAATTTTAAGCTAAAAAACGCATCGTACAAAAATCGCTGTATCTCAGCGAAATCAGTGAATTTTTAAAATCTGAAAACAGCGTTGGAAAGGTAAAATAAAAACATATCAGATATCCGAATGTAATTCTTTTCAATGGGTGATTATACTCAGCCATTTTCTTGAAGATACGAATATGCCTTTTGATCTTTCCATTTTTTATAATGTCGTTTTTTGGGATAAAATCGTTCATTTTTATATGGACATAATCTTAAAGCACATAATATTATATATCATTGGATCTGTCACAAAAAATCCTAAATTTTAGCAGTGTAAAAAAATTTTTTAAATTTTTTCTGTCAATTTTTAAACGTTTACAAGACGATTTTTTGTTTTTTACGCAGAATAAAGATATCGAAAAAGTGAATTTTTTTCAATGAAATCGTCTCCCGTGGTCAAAACTGACTACGGAATTCGATTCTACACACAAAAATACGTAAGAAAACGTCTTGTCAATATAAATTTTACCCTGAGAGCAATGTTAGCAATCTATAATATGATTGCCACTTTCAGAGCGATTTTGCTAAATTTCCGAAGCACGTTTTTAAACTTCAACAGCCTATCGACACCGGTTCCCGTCACTTGTTTGACTTTTTTCATCTGAAACCTTAAAATTTCAGCTAAGCTGTGTGCCCAGGCGAAACAAAAATTGTTTGCAAAAACGACCCGGTCTGGTATACATGTATGTACTTACTTACATTCACTCGACAACAAAATTATCGCAACAAAAAATTTCATCAAAATTTTGTCGATTTTCAAATGCTTCTATCTTGGGCTATATTTATCGTATCGACACGAATTTTTTTTGATTTCTTGGAAATTTTGTTCTTTTTCAATCCATATACATATATTATGATTAGATTTGAGTTAATATCGAGTTACCAGTAGTATTTGAGCGTAGCACTAAAAATCACTGAAAAAAATTGATTGTTTTGAATGTGTACCAGTACCACAGTAATTTTTTTATTCAAATTGTTGTACAATGGATTGTGGAGTGGACGAATTTGAGCAAGTCTGCGAGTTTTTGCAGAGTTTCGCCGACATCGTACACGTTTACTCAGACAGAGTAGAAATACTCTTGACAGTCACCAGACTGGAGTATGACAAGTGACCCTGAGGAGGGTCGATGTTATTTGTTGCCTCTTAGTTTACAGGTTTTGTAAACTCTACGTTTAGTCCTGAGAAGGACTAGTTTTTGATGCAGGCTGTTAATTTGTGCAGAAGGACTGGCTCGGCTCAAACTCGGCTTCGCCTCGGATGATAAATTACACGTGCTCTGAGACTTTCCTTTTTCGCTACATAGGTGCAAATACAATTTTTTGTGAATCCCCCAGCCTAAAGTAACATTTTCATTTCGTTCAGCGGGAGTAAAATGTTACTTTAGGTTGGGGTAGCACAACAAATTTTTTTGGGGTCTCCTGGTACCCAACACTGAAGCTCCCTGTGCTTAGTTTGATCTCATGGGCCTTAGGGCCCATTTTTAGAGGATTTTCCACATTATAAAAAAATCTTTGTTATTTTTTATATCGATATAGAAGTACTTGAACGAAAAAATGCAACGATCAAAAGTTTTTTAATTTTTCAAAGAATCTGCTGGAATTGTTTCAGAATTTTTGAGACCATTTTTTTGGAGAGAGTGATAGATACCAGGAGACCCCAAAAAATTTTTGGAGCAAATCCATGACCCGGAGCTGGGGTGGTCTCTTTGTTAGTTTAAAGTCATTGAAAAGTTTGTACCCCAACAAATGTGATCAAACGCAAAAAATGAGAAAATTTATTAATGTTTTTGAGCACATATGGAATAATAGAACTGATATAAAGGTATAAATAAAAATTCCATAAAACTGAATCTATAAAGAGCATTTTTCTGAAGACTTTGATTTGTACTACACTGAAAAAACGATCACTGTTCTGAGCACTAAAGCCGACTCAGTAAACAAGACGAGGCAGTCACTACCAGATTTCTAAGTAGAGCGCACTGTACAATTTAGTAATACACTCTTTGAGGTTATGGTCAGGAGACTATAGAGCGTATTACCAAATCGTACAGTGCACTCTACTGAAAAATCTGATAGTGGCTACTAAGTCGCTGCGTCATCTTGTTTACTGAGTCGGCTTCAGTACTTAGAACAGTGATCATTTTTTCAGTGTAGAGTTCTCTACTATAAAAACTCTGGTCTATAAAAAGTCTGAACCTGGTGCAAAAATTCTAAAATAACTAAAATAAGCTATTTATAAATACAGAGGCGTACTCTGCATATTTTTACACATTTTGGAGAGCTATTAAGTTTAATTTTTATGTAGTAGAGATAGATTGTCTCAAAACTGCACTTTATATTATAAAAATAGCATAATGGAAATAATTGTTGTATAACTCCCCTTATATTCTGCGTTTTTTAGTATACGATATTTATAGCATTAATATGAATGTAAAAAATAAAAAATAACAAAAAAACAAACACATATGATCATTGAGGGTAGCATGTTTTACAAAAATTATGGTGATTGCAATTTTTTAGAAAATTCAATTTTATCATGTTCAAAAGCTACCAAAAGTTTTTGAGAATTTCTCGTATGTAGGAATGAGTACACGTGAACGCGGGTACGCAAAAAATATATGTGTTGGTGAATATGTCGTTACGCTGTACTGCACATCGGCTAGCAGTAGATTGGTTGGAAGTCAGCCAGTTGGCTGTAGCCCAATTCGTCATTTCATTCTTTTTGAATCTGACTCGTCGTCGCTACGCGTACGTCCCCTTCTTCTTCTTGCCATTTATATGAGCCTCGTTTTTTCGGTGTAACCCGTTTCATCTTTTTTCACCATTATATAGCAAAGCAACCACCTTTGCTTCTCCTACTCAGAAGTCATTTTTTTAACCAATGTTCTTCTCAACCTAAATATATACGATTGACAAGTTTGTAACACATGTGCTGAGTGGTTTGGTAAAGACAGATTTAAGATTAATGAATTATTAGAAAGAAATACAATAATGGCTTTAAGTAAATAAAATTTTCTGTCGTGCTTACAAAACGATTTTGAATTCGTGTATACCGTATGTACAATATGTTATGGACTCAAACGTTCGCCAATTCTACTAAATTAAGGGCTACTAGGGGGCTTGAAATCGAAAAAAATTTTATTTTATTGTCGAATTGGATTTTTTGTCTCCTTTCCATTGCATTTTTCAAAACTTCAAAATTCTGATCATTCACTGAGCTGTTTCCGTGGGTCTTTTTTCGTATGCTTAGCTTCTTACATTTTTTTTCATTTTACGTTTTCTGGCGTTTCTCTCGATTAATATATTAATATAAATCGAGTATGAGCGAACTCCTATTTGGATTTATTTACCCAAGTAACCCAAGTAAACATTAATATTTAAAAATTGTTCTGTTAAATTGTTATATTAAAAGCATTAAGAAGGTACCTTTGAGTACTGCTCTAGTGAAGATTTCATGGTGGCTCAAACGATAAAAGAAACTAGAACTAGTCTAGCTAAATAGTTTCTAGGCAGGCGCGTCTGCTCATTTCGTTTACTATATAAATCAACTGTTGTGTGCAGGTTAAGTCGATCGTTTAACACTGCACAAGATTTGAACTGAATGTCACCAGAAAATGCATATTTGTGAATATTTTTCGATTTAATGCACAGTACTTATACGTAGTGAAAGATTACAAAAATTTAACACGAGGTACTGTGATTGAGGGGTTTGACGAGTTTATTGAAGGGCTAAAAAAATTCCACGTGAATCCGTTTTATAACTAATGAGGTATGCTTTTAAGTGTACAAAATTATCGTCATTTGCATAAGATACAACTTAATAAAAATGTTTTACTCGTATAACTCGACTGAATTGAGTAGTAGTCTAATGAAATCAACCAATCAGATCGGGAATGACTAGGTGACAAAATGGTGAGTCTCATTAAATGGTGCTACTTTTCACATTGACAATTGATGATGACGGTTTTGCCGCATCTCTAAAACAAATTTGTTCCAACAAAAACTATATGAAAGCATTAGAAGTGAAACTTCAGAGTCCTTTTCCTTCTGACATGAAATATTTTTTCCGACTATGAAAATATCTGATTTTCTGGGCAAAATGCTTTCCAAATTAGTGATTCAATCAGTGGCAGCCTCATCTTCAATTAAGCCGTTGATGGGAAGAAATATGCAGTTTGCCAGTTTACCTCCCACGGCAACACATCCACTTTCCCCACGAATTCTATATCCCATTATCCTTTCCAAAGTATCCCCAATATCATTTTTTTTTTCATTTTTTGGGTTCACCATCTAAAAGTTATTTTTCTTCTTTCAAGACAGAAAGAAATATGGCGCTCGCACGTATTTTCTAAGCTCTGATGCTCTTACCTTGCAATTTCTCACGTATTTGTGTGGTTTCATCTTAAAGCAAAGGTCTTTCTGGCGTATCGCTTGCGGCTTTTCATTCCCGAGAGGTTGAAACGTGCCTGCATTACCGATAGCTATTTAGATATTACCTGTTCAAAGTCTTTTAGTTCTGCGTTCGACTCGATACTTATATTTTTCCATAACACAAAATATCTAATTTTTATGGACTATTTCAAAAGAAAATACTATATGATTTTTAAATTTTCAAACCAAATGTCTCTAGCTACCTTTAAAAAAAAATTGAAAGAAAATATACAGAAGTATTCATGAATTTCTCAGTTGCTCGAATTTAAAAATTCACGTCTTTTCGGTAGCAGACTATACAGATGTTTTGACACAATAAAGTTACTTTGCCCTGATGCAATAAGAAAATAAGAGTGAAGAAGGAAGCTGCTATAGGAAAAAGATCTTTATTAAATCTGAGCGGAACGAAGTCGTTTCATGTCCAGTTTTCCTAATTTTAGGAGTAAAATCTTTGGTACTAGACGCATTACAAATTAGTTTTTTGAATGTAAACCGTGCATTCTTATTTCCTTTTTAGAATCTTTTTTTGAAAAAGGATTTTTTTATATATTTATACTGGGTCATTATTATTTATATTGTACACGTGTCATAAGTAGCACATTATGAGCATGGCAAAAGCACCTTCGCTGCGCTCGGGCGCTTTACTCTGCCGTGCCATGATCTGCTACTTATGCCACTGTTTCACAATGTACTAGTATGATACTCGTGCCACTGGGACACTTTCCTACACGGGTATTAGGACCCGAGCCCAGTAAGAAAATCCAAAAAGTAATGGAAACAGGTGTCGATCGATTTTTAATATTTAATAACGTTAAAATTTTGATTCGATTCTAAAGTCGAATTAGACCTGTCAGTTTTTCTGTATAACAAAAATTAATTCAATCAATACATTTTTTTGTATTTTTTGTCGTATAACCGCGTAACAATAGTAGATTTATGATTAAATTACATTTCTGCATTGGAAATCAACCTTTTTTATGCTTTTTTGGGTAACATTTTAGAAAAATGCAGTTTTAACCGTTAAGAAAACGCGTAAAAAATCTGGGACATTTTTTAAACACGTTAAAATTTTGGATTTTTCACATAAAATGCAATGCCAGATTTTGTCTAAAAAGTCATTTTCTATGATGAAATTGCACCTTCTCGATTTTTTTAATCTCAAAAACACCCAAAATCGTCGAATAGTCGCTCGCAAGCGAGCTAATCATATAGTTCGTTTTTTTAAACATGTGGCCGATTCTCTGTGAAGTCGAATGGTCAAAAAAAATTTTTTTCTGCAAATATGAAAAACATGTTGTATTTGATGTCAGATTGGTCCCAAAAAAATTTTAGAAAAATTGAGGCCTTCTATGACACTTTTTCAGAGACCCAAAGTTGGCCATTTTAGCGTTTTTTCGAAATTCATGAAAAATCACAAATATTCAAATAAATCCTGGATCAGTGTAGAATGAATCAAAAGTAAAAGTTTTGTTGGAAATTGTCTAAATTTTCAGAAAAAAGCATTCCAAAGTTATTGGAGCTACTTAAAGGCATATACAGTGGAAAATACTTAAAAAAAAACAAAAAACAAGAAATTTAATCGAGTTCGAACCTAACTTTCATTTCCAAAACTATGTAAAAAGCTTCCTAAATATGTCAACTACTGCCTGATAAAGTTTTGTAATGGGTCTTACAATGTAACGCAATGTAGACAACAATAAGTGTCGAAAAACGTGCAAAAAAGGTCAAAAATAGGCCCAAAATGCCTAAAATCACCAAAAACACCCATTTTCAGACCTTTTTTGCACGTTTTTCGACACATGTTGTCTACGACTTGCGGTACACTGTAAGACCCATTACAAAACTTTATCAGGCAGTAGTAGACATATTTAGGAAACTTTTTACATAGTTTTGGAAATGAAAGTTGGGTTCGAACTCAATTAGATTTCTTGTTTTTTGTTTTTTTCAAGTTTTTTGCTCTTTCCACTTTCCTAGATAGTTCCAATCATTTTGGCATACTTTTTTTTTGAAAATTTGGACAATATACAACAAAAAAGCTCATGGGCACTTTTACTTTTGAATCATTCTACACTGATCCAGGAATTATTTGAATATTTGTGATTTTTCATGAATTTAGAAAAAACGCTAGAATGGTCAACTTTGGGCCTCTGAAAAAGTATCATAGAAGGCCACAATTTTTCTAAAATTTTTTTGGGACGAATCTGACATCAAATACAACAAATTTTTCACATTTGCAGAAAAAAAATTTTTTTGGCCATTCGACTTTACAGAGAATCGGCCATATATAAAGATGGGATTAATCTTGTAGAATCGAATGAAAGTGTTAGTTTTAGCCGCAAAAATCATTATCATCAATAAAAAACGAAAATTCGATTTTTTTTATAGTGTCAAAATTGATGGAAATTCAAGAAAAACGAACTCGTATCTCACGAAATTTTATTAGAACATTTTCCAAACATAAATATTGTTAGAATTTTTTTCAGTATAATTAAGTAGCAGTATTGGTTCTAATAAAAATATCCATTATCAGCGTAAAAATCGAATGTTCGATTTTTCATGTGTGAATTCAATTGAAAATTCAAGAAAAATAAACCTGCTGACCTAATCGAATTCAAACATCTGCTCAATACATGTATTGTTTTATATAAATATTTTGCACAATCGAATAGTAGCATAGGTTTAAGCCGGACAGTTCGTTATATGTATGCACTTCATCGATTTTGGGTCGTTTGTATCGCATTCCGCAGTACCAGAAAGTGCGACTTATGACTCGGAAAAGCGGGTACAAATGTGAACTTAGCCTAGTGCTATAAAATTGAGTGTGATACTCGTTACGCTCGAGCCCTAAACTACATCGCATCAAAAAGTATGCTAATTTTAACTTATTTCTCATTTTAAATGAACTTACCTATTGTACATGAGAACATCAGGCTTCCACAATCGATGAGGAGGTATCCTTAAGTCTCGCACATTTCCATACTTTGAAGGATCCCATACCATATTTACGTCGTTCCATTCCTGAAATAAGAAATTTTAATTAACAGTTATAAAAGTTAAATAAACATCTAACAAGTGTGAGGTAAAAATACGCTTTATTTCACATGATTTTCAAAAAACCAAAACTGATTTACCAAAATATCTTTGTTTGATTTTTATTGTATCAAGAAAATCGATTTATGAATAAAACATAAGAATTCATTTTCAGAAGATGATATTTTGAAGTAAATAGTTGGATGCTATAATCATTTTTAAAAAATTAAATGAGTAATTATTAAGAAATACTTAAAAAATTGAAAGAAGTATTTCCAAAATATTAATTTTTTCACATCACCCCCCGCCCAATCTAGTTTGCATTTGCTTCAAAATTTAGTGCAGGTTTTAGGTGGAAAATATGGCATAGAGTAGCCGATTAGAACACTCATTAAGCTCCTTCCCAAACTTCAAAACTTTGTATCAAAATACGGTTAGGTAGAGAGACTCTTAAATAGCATATTGTTCATTATCATTATAATGTCGAATTTATTTTGGTTTTCTCGCGTTTTCCGTAAGCCTAGGTTTTAGACCAAAAAAATTACGTTGAAAATAAGAAGACCTACCGATGAACAATGATCCACTAACAACGATCGCTAATAAATCAAACGTTTTCAAAATAGCCTGTAGGCCAAAGCAACAGTAAATGATTATGGCAGCGATCACATCAGCTGTTAATAAGTGGGTGAGTAATAATTACGCTGCTCACCACGTATTGAAGTGGTAGTTTTGTACTTGTGGTAGTTTCGGTGAGCGACACAATTTTCGCTGATTCTGCCTTGATCAAAAGTCGTGTCGATCTGAGACTGGGGATCATGTAGAAGGTGAATCGAGCCTAGGTCAGCAGGTTAATAGTATTGGTTAGGTGGCCCTGGTAGAAATGCAACATTTTTTCACCATTGGTGTAACACTGTTTCTCATAAAAAACGGCCATTTAATGGCAATTCATGGCAAATGACCAGTAAATGGCTATTTTTTATGAGAAAAAGCGTTACACCAATGGTAAAAAAAATGTTGCATTTTAATCTTTAGAAAAATCAAAAAAGATTTTAATAGTGCTTCACAATAGGCTTTTTTCTCAGTTTTTTAGTGCTGTGATCAGAATTAAAATATCCGTATCTGTTCGCTTCTTGCCAACTTTCGTCTATACGAAATAAACCATTCTCGACAAGTCCACTCTGAGATACTTTTAATACCTGGATCATGAACAGCCTAGAAAAACTAGAGATAAGTCTCGACTATCTTTTAAAAAAATCCGTGAAGTGATAACTTTCCATTTCGACAACACGTATTTTGAATTCAATGACACCTTTTATAGACCGACCTATGGGACTACAATACGAAATTATATCTCCTCATTGGCTGCAGACTTGGTGATGGAGGAATTAAAAAAACATTTCACGAGCGTGTTGAAACAGCTCGGCTGCATACCACTTTTCTACTATAGGTACCGTCCTATTTATCACCAAAAAAGACATCAAATTGGCAGTACATGAGTTCATCTCGTATAATAAAATTAAAGTTCACCTACCCAGTTAAACAGAATAGAAAACTCAGCTTCTTGGACATGACTCTGATAAAAGCAAACGGCAAAATACTCACGCACTGGTACCAAAAACCGTCTAACTCCACCCGGTTGTTCTCATGCTACTCACGACATTATGCATAACAAAAAATCAACATTATATACAACTTGGTGGACAGAGTGACTAAATTATCGGACCAACAGTTCTACTCAAGAAATATCGAGAAATAGCAAAATCTCTTGAGAGATAAAGATTACCTGATAGCGTTTATCAACAGGCATATTTTCAAAAGACTTTGGGTTCTCAAGAATTTAAAACCAGAAACATGCCGCTCACATACTATGAGGACTGTAAGTATTGTTGTGCGTGTTTTGGGGTGGTGGCGGATTAATTGATTAGTGCTACTCTCTTATGTAATTGTACACTCAATACGTACACTATAAGGCAATTGAATCTGCAACAACCTTCAAACATAAATACAGCGAATTCGGAGCCTCTGCCTATGCTGTTCCGTATATTATTGTATTATTATTGACGCCTATAGGCACATATGGATAAAAAGCGCGGGTAATGCCCCAGCGCCACGCGCGGGCAGCGAAAACGACCGGATTACTCAGTTTTCAACTCGCTCACAAGGGGTTGAATAAAATTCAAAAAAATAAACCAACATAAGTTTTCGATAGGTTTTTACCTCAGCTTTCTACTGGTGAAGTCCAAAATGCAAAAATATGCCTCTATAACCTCAAAAAATGGACTTAAAGATAAAATACGTTGTAACTTCCAGAGTTCAACTCCGATTGACTTTTTGCCTAGCTAGATCGAAAGATCTTGCGATTTTACATTAGAAACTCTAAAAAAGGGACTTTTTCGATTTTTTCGAGCGGTGAAGAGAGAAAGAGCGCGCGGTCGGCCGTTTTCGAGCGCCACGGCCGGTTTTTTCGCTACACTTTACATTTTCTTTATTTATCACGCGTTAGGCTTTCACCATAAAAATAAACAAATACATGAATTTTGTGTATTTTTTTCTCATCTTTCCAATAGTGCAATTAGTTTGAATAAAAGATTATCTGTTTTGCTCACGATGTATAGAGTAAGATAAATTTTTGTGATCTTGGTGAGCAGGTAATAAATAAATTTATAGTCACAGAGGGTTGTTAGATTGACTATTTTTAATAGTTAGCGACGTTTCGATTAGCTTTCCTAGTCCTCATCAGGCTTACTACATAACAGAATAGGTACAGATGTTAGAATGTCATAAAAAAATTGTAGCAAAAAATCTTCATATAATATATTTACCAAGCGTTATCCAAGTTAAATTGCCGGTATTAACCGTACAATAGTCAGATTCTTACTAACAAGTACCGTTTACAAATTATGTCGCTAGGTGAAAAATAGTTAGCGAGAGACGAAGAGAGGGTTGTAAATATGGCTTTAGAATTGGATGTCCTATTTTTTGTTGATGTTCGATTTGTGTAAGTTAATATATAACATCTCTGAAACACGACGTTTAGTAAAGTTAGCTTCCCTGTCAAGAACTTTAACATTCTGCCACTCAAAGTCATGATTATGTACAGAGATGCGTTTCGACACCACCGATTCGTCATTATTTTGTCTACGATGTTTGTCAATTCTCTTTTTTAACCGTCTCTTCGTCTCACCGACATACACAGCGGGGCAGTCCTTACAACTAACAAGGAGACCTTCTCACCTTCGGGTCATGGATTTGGCCCAAACTTTTTCTGGTGATTCAGTACAGTTAGAAAACATGTCCTGTTATGTTCGCTTATGTGAATATGCCCCAGAAGCCTTAGATAAAAAATAAAGGGCCAAATAATAAAAATAAGCGTATAAAGTGCAATTAATATTCATTTCCTATCCACAAACTATTATAATCACTTATTTTAGACACTTGATACTTGAAAACATTACATTTCATTGTTAAGAACTTGTTGGATCTCCATTGCTTGTATTAAAATAATAATTATTTGAAGCGTTTAAGGCCATACGTATTGAAATTTAACGCTTTATAATGTCATAATTGAACAATATTGCAATGTTTTGGGTCATGAGTGAGATCCAACAACTTCTTAACAATGAAATGTAATGTTTTCAAGTACCAAGTGTCTAAAATAAGTGACTATAATAGTTTGTGGATAGGAAATGAATATTAATTGCACTTTATACGCTTATTTTTATTATTTGGCCCTTTATTTTTTATCTAAGGCTTCTGGGGCATATTCACATAAGCGAACATAACATGGCATGTTTTCTAACTGTCCTGAATCACCAGAAAAAGTTTGGGCTAAATCCATGACCCGAAGGTGAGAAGGTCTCCTTGTCATCCGGCCGTTTTCTTGCCTTGGCGCGTGACGCTGGAGCATTACTCGCGCTTTTACCCATATGTTGTACACACAGGCAGTCCGACTTCGCTGTATTTACGTTTGGAGGTTGTTGCAGATTCAATCACTTTATAGTGTACACAGTACTGTAATCTGTGTTTGTTATTTACATACCAAGTGCGAGAAGCCGAGTGAATACAGTCGAGGAGATTGTTTGGCAGTGGCAGTGGCAGTCAGTGCCGCGGCCACGTAGCGGTCAAGGGGATGATATGCAAAGTCCTTTTCAACATATTCGCCCGTTTGAGGCTTATTACGTGCTGAGCAAGCTGTGTGGGTAACAGGGTCTCGCACAGTCGAGCAGAGCTACTAGTCTGTAATGATTCTACTAGGCTGTATTAGGCTTATTACAGCCTAGTAGGATTTCAATACAGTCGAGGATGTTAGCGCTCTCTAACGGCATTGAAAAGATTCACCGCTATACTGACCGAGAACCAGCGTTATGAAAAACTTTCCGGAACATGGCTGCCGCTGTCGTCTGCCGTCACGGTTTTATCATCTGATCCGATGCTGCCAACTCAAACGTAGGCGGCAGAACTAGAATAATGTTTTGTATACACGCTGTAGTTTTATTATGTGGTTTTTCTTCATGGATGAAATGTCAATTACATTTCTTTAATTAATGTAAGATGTAAAAAAACATTTCATTTATAAAGAAAAACTAAATAATAAAACTACAGCGTGCAGACAAAACATTATTTGAGTTCTGCCGCCTAGGTTTGAGTTTGCAGCATCGAGTCAGATGATAAAACCCCGTGACGGCAGACGACAGCCATGAAGTGTGTCAGACCGGCAATCTACTAAGATTCCAAGGCCAACAAAAAAGAAGAAGAAGAAGGCAGACGACGGCGGCAGCCATGTTGCGGAAAGTTTTTCACAACGCTGCCGGGGACGTATCTCGCGCGCTCGTAGCTCATAACCTAGCATTGATCTATCAAACAAAAAAACCTCCGTTGATGAAGATGAACTTTGAATTTATGTTTGCGATTAATGCTTCACAAGTTTACGAAGACTATAGTGGCAGTGACAGTGATTTTAAAAATGCAGATATAAATAAAGAACTGCA